CTGACAGGCCAAAAAAAAGTATTACAAGACCTACTGTGCTAATATGCAGATGTCTTCGTGGATTAACCTGGAAAGACAGACCTTGTGCAACACAAGATCAAGACCACAATCAAGGATCCAGTCTGAGTGAAGCCCTATCAGATGCCTTATGCGATTATAGAACTGATAAAGCAGGAAGTGGAGGAAACATTGTAAGCTGGAATCATCAAGCTGTCAAATTCAGTCTACTGTTCACCAGTTGTAATCATGAAGAAGAAGGACAGATCAAACTGTTTCTGCACAAACTTCTGGAAGCTAAATCTCGTGACAAAGTTCTACTCAGAACTTATGGGCAATCCAGAGGCCATCATGGCAAAACTAGACAGAGACAGGTTCTTTTCAACAATCGATCTCAGTGAAGGTTAGTGCAAATCCTTATAGAGAGGGAATCTAAAGAGAAGCCAGCATTTGTGACACCAGATGGATGTTACCAATTTAAGCGAATACTATTTGAGATTAGTGAACACAGCAGAAACATTCAACTGCAAGATGAGAGGGATGCTGAGCAACACCACCAACATTGAGCACTATGTGGATGATGTTTTGACATACATTTCAAGATGGGAAGATCACCTGAAGAGACTTAAACAGCTGTTTCAGCAAGGGAGAGTAGCAGACATCACCATCAGACAATCCAAGTGCTACATCAGATATGCCATGCTAGAGTTTGTTGGGCATAAAGTAGGTGGACCAACAAATAGTCATGGAAAAGGAAAAGATAATATGCATATAAGATACACCAGCTCCAACAACTAAGCAGCAAGTCAGATCCTTCCTGGAGTTACCAGGATACTGTAGGAAATTCATCCCAAATTATGCTGAAGTTACTGCACCATTGACTGATCTGACCAAGAAAGGCTTGCCCAACAAGGTGAAGTGGGAACAATCACACCAAGTAGCATTCCAGAAATTAAAGAATATGTTAGGAAGCTCACCAATTCTTAGAATGCCAGACTTCGACAAACCTTTCCTTGTCCAGGCTGATGCTTCAGACTTTGGAATTGGGGCAGTACTTTCACAAGAACAGGAAGAGGGACTGTTTATGGTAACATACATAAGTAAAAAGCTGTCAAATAGCTGAGAAGAATTACTCTGTGATTGAAGAAGAATGTCTTGCCATCATATCTGCCAATCAGAAGTTCCAGAACTATCTATATGGGAATGAGTTCATCATCCAGACAGACCATCAACCACTTGCATACATTCAGAGGTGCAAGATCGACAGCACAAATATCATGAGATGGGCGTTGTACCTTCAGAACTACAGATTCTGCATAGAAGCTATCAAATGTAGGAGCAAACTGTTTATGTGAACGAAGAAGCTTTGTATATCATGGAAAAGAAAATATTACAAATATTTATCCTGAAGATGGATTTATGTCATGATATAAAAGACTGTCATTGATTTGCTGTTTTATGATGATTGTAATATTATTTTGTTTTTGTTTAGTTTATTATGTTGTATTTTGCATGTATTTAGTTCAAAATATATACGCTGATATTGAAACAAGTGTAGTGCATGCTGTTCATTCATCGTTACCTTTACCATCAACAAGTCACAGACACCTACGGTATAAGAATCCACAAAACCAAAACCTGATACACATAATGGTAAAAACTTAAGAGCTTTGAGTAAGATGACGTCAACAACATTACAAAAGCCTAGTACAACAATTAAACTGCATACACAGCATATGACTCATACAGTTACAAAATGAAACTTGTCATAACTATCGCTTTTATAATAATTAACTTTTAACACTCTTGTTGTAAAAACTAAATAATCATTAAATATTAAATCACTAAATAAACTAAATAACTCTTAAACTGAACTGTCTTGTATATCCAACACTTGCTATGCATAGTGAAATTAAGTAATAAAATAGATGTGGGAAATGTATGAGAGAAACCATCATGAGAACTGCATTATTATACGTTTTTAATTCATTATTTGGTGTTCGTTTAAAGTTATTATTTCATGTAATGTAGTGTTTTACTGACAACTGGTTCAGCAGAATTTGTCAAATTTCCTGATCATGGAAACCAACTGCTGAGAAATTAAAAATAACACCATCTAGACAATAATCTTCTGGCATGTAAGTGTGCTTACAATCATGACCCTTTACATTTTCCTTTTTCTTCAACATAGAATAAAATAACAAATAAACAATCTCGGTCTGTTTCTCATTTATTTATGTAAGTTGATACACTGAACAAAAGAAAGGTTAAAAAATAATACTCCGCACAACCATTTATTTATGGATTGTACATTGGCAAACTGTCAATAACAGCACCCTATGCACAGAGTTAATACACACTGTGTGCTTGCCAGAGATATAGGCAGACTCTTCCTGTGAAGTTCTCAGGACGATACATCACAAATTCAAGCTCTTAATACTTTTAAATGAAAACTGACTTTTTTCAGTCTGCCAATACTAATATCTACTAATTCATTTTAAACTATCAGTTTGAAAATTGCCACAGACAAATACCAGTTTCATGATTCATTATTAAATCAGGTTTCAGAATTACCAGACTACATTGAGACTCTGCAGAACAATGTTAAAAATGCAAAATTTTGCTTTGAATCATTGAACACCACAAAAGAAGTACATGACTCATATGATCTTTGCATGTGCAAACCATAACAGAGCTGTTCCTCACTTTTTACACTAAGTTAGTTCTTCAAATAAAAACTTTTGAAGCTTTCAAATATATATCTCAGAACAAAAACACATATCAGGCAATAGAACAGAATATCCTAAAATACATTTTAACTGCCTTTCTAATAAGCAATAAATATGTTGAAAAGAATTACTTTCTTCTTTGAACAGAAAAACAATAGCAAAACATAAAACTAAAGCCAAATATTTAATTATGAGCTAAAAACTGAACCAGCTTTCTAATAAATCTTATAAAGAAGAATCTGCTCTTTCTATTGGTTACAAATAACTCAAGAAATGTCAGAAAATTAGATACTTTTCTGAAACACAGGAAGAGATAGGAAAAACATGGCATATTGGTTTGACTTGTATTTTTATTTTTTTTATTATCTCAGTAAGGAAAGAAGCTTGGCAGCTAGAAATTTATATTCTTGTTTGCCAATATCTATAGTACAAGAATGAAATTGGTGGGACACTAAAATATCATATACAAGTAGAAAGAAAATCTAAAATGGGCAATTTGAAGCACAGACATTGTATGATACAGGGAAGTTAAGATTGAAAATTTATTTAAATATTTCCTTTTGAAATTAAGAAATTAAAACTGAGATAATATAAAACTTGGAATTATAAATTACAATATGATGTCAAGCTTACTCACATACATTGATAAGAAAGAGTTTAATTAAATCTTGAATGTAACTCTGTAAAAATACTGTGATGTGCACACTTTGGCCTTACTATATGCAAAGGGTTATTTGATATTAGACAATCAACTATGTCAAGGATCTTCAGCTATGGCATGAGTTACAACTTCATAATAGTTAAAAAAACAAAAATAAGAATTTCAATCATTAATGGTGTAGATAACATTGATACATATAACATGCTATCACTGAAAAGATGGATCATCCTATCACCTGACCACAAAAAGAGTGCTGTTTGAAGTGAATAATCATCATTGTAAAATTACATAAAATATCATTGTTATATTTCCTTTCAAAAATGCTTTTATTTTTTCATTCTTAATAATAAATTTAATTTCAAAATTATATAAAATCAATGAAAATCTATAAAAGGGGATTTATGCTTTGTTTAAGAGAGGGAATTGTAGGCAAGGATCTGGCAGTCAAAATAAAAGCCAGTTCAGGTAAATAAGGATGGTACGAAGGACAAAGAACTGAAATTGAATATATATCTAGTTTTATAGCCATGTATAGATCTAGAAATTTAAAGCAACAGACCTCATCAGTTCAAGTACCTTTTATGATAAATTAAGAGGTTTTGATAGGATTCAAATCACTATCTTCACCCCTTTTGCTACGGGTAGGTCAAAATGTGCATGTCACGATTTTTTTAGAGAGTTTAATTAAATTTTGAATGTAACTACTTTATTATCATTGTATACTTTAAGGATAACTGGTGTTTACTGTATTTAGATCACAAATAGCATTCAGTTTGCACACTTTGAAAAAATAAAAAGCTACAATAACTATTACTGAGCTTACCAAAGTTGTTAAACTTTTGAAAAATCTATAAAATACTGCCTACAAACTTTTAGCTCATATCCCTGTCATCTCTTGAGCAATTTGGATCTAATTACAGTTTTGTACTCAGGAGGTCAAACTCTTTCAACTGATGTATTTGACTATGCTTAAAATCTCATAGATTAAGTTACTCTAATCCTGCCTAAAAGAATTTCAATTTGGAGGTAGGCTGGTAGAGATCCTTGTGAGTAATAAAACTGAATCTGGTAAACACACACCCCATGATTTGTATTGCTGGAACACAAAAATATAGTTTTAAAAAAAGAAAAAAAAAAGGTCTTGTAGTTTAATTTACTCTAATCCTGCCAAAAAGAATTTCAAGTGCCATGACTATCATTTTCTAGTTTAATCTTTTTCTACCTCAATGATATGACTGCTGAAATAACAGCAAGTATATATATTATATATATACAATGTGAAAGTAAGTTGGACAAAAGTGTACAGTATTTAAAGTGAAGTCTGCGTATATTAGCACAATAGTGATTGCTTGGAATTTTTCAATGACTGATCAGGTACAAAATGTTTATTAGAAAGGCTCATCAAATCAAATTCATACTTTTAAATTAACAAAAAATTCATGTTCGCTGACTTAACATTCTGATAGTGTACTATTTATATAATGAAAATCCTCTCTAACTGATATGAATAAAGCACCTTAAGAACAAAAGAAATTTAAAAAATTTTTTAAATCAAAAGGGGAGATATTTCATCCAACTCTATTTATAATAAAAAATGTCTCGAATAAACTTACTTGCATAGCTACAGGAAAATCATTCTGGGCTTCTGGAGGGAAAAAAACATCAACAGCTTTCTTTGGATATGGCTGATTTCCTGCAGGGGGTTGACCAACCTCGATTATGTGGAGCTACAAACAGGGATGAAAAAAAAAAAAAATAGAAATTAATATTATAATTTACAACCTTCTTAAACTTATCTAAACAGACAGATACACTTTGATAAATAAATTGTATTAACTCTAAGTACAAAAGTGGCCAATTCAACTGTACATGGAACTGTACATCTATAGTATTGAATGTACTAAGTGTATACTCAAAACATTTGGCAAGCTATTAGAAAACATTAGAAGTCTTTAATACACAAAAAAATTCAGATTTTTATTAAAATATTTTTACTAAAGATTCATCTGTGAATTTCAAGGTTTTTTCTTAGTCAGTCAAAGTTTCATTTTAAGAATACTTTCTTTTTACAGTTCTGTCTTTCATTTGCATAACTTTCAGAACTTTCTAAAGGGATATCCAGGTTTTTTTCAATAAAACTTTATACTTTATCTGTTATTTTCTGTACCATAACACTAACTACAGTAACATCACCAATTTAAAGTGAAATGAAAAGTTAATAAAATAAAATGAAAAAAGTACCTTTTCTTCTTTGAATGCATCATTTTTGCAAGACTTGCAACTTACTTATATTCATAATTTAAACTGTTAATCTTTTCACATCTATTTTCATTTCATTTTATTGTTTTATTGCAGATCTTGTACCCACTACTAAGCATGAAAAGCAATAACTCAGAGTGGGAATCTATTACATGTTTGCAATAAGGAGTTTATGTAAAACTCATGAGTTAGTGTTAATTTTCATGCTAGTGTAATTTCAGACATTTTATTTCAGAAATGTTTTGTTCAGATAAACTAAAAAGTTTAAAATATTTGCATTCTGATTAATTTTGTTTAACCCAATACCTGCCATGGCCATTTTGTCTTATTGTGAGGGCAAAATCATTTGTGAATTGAAAAAATGATAGAGAACTTATCTTTTATTGGATTTCAGATTTTATTTTTGTAAACAGTAGCATAACATTCAATTATTTGTACAAAATTGTATTATTTAATGAAGTTTAAAGAGGAATTTAATGAAAAAATTCCTAAAATATGTTTTAGACTGTAAATAAGCGCCCTCTAAGAAGAGATTTTTTTTCAAAAATTTTTTAAAGATATTTTATTAAGATATTATTTTAAGATTAGATCTTATACACAGCCAAAGAATTTCACTAATTTCTCTGATGGGTTTCACAAACTTATTGATATCTATGCAAACTGAGAAAGTATGAGGTTCAAATTTTATATTGTTGCTGATAATTATATACAGTTGTGTTTCTAGTTGTTTGGACACTCTGAAACCCATATTATTAATGATATCAACTCAAAAGGGGGAGAATTCAGACCACGAATGTGTCATGTGACACAGAAATATGAACAGAAACTGTTTTATAAATTAGGAATGTGCTTTACATTTTAGTAGAAATTAAAATCTTATTATAATGGAGCTTGCGAAGTATACGTCCAAAACTTGGATCTAGAGAACTACCGCATCGATCATTACCAATCATAATTGGGTAACATTTTTATAACAAAGTAGTATTTTTATAGCTGAGCAATAAATAAAACAATTGAAATTCCACAAAAATGATATGTTTCAGATTTAATCAATAGAAATAAAAAGGAGTAAGTTTCAAATATATAAAACAATCAAAAAACAAACTTAAAAAAATTATTTGTTTTCCTTTTGTGAAAATCTCATGAGAGTTGCAATAGAAAAGCAAGACAATTTCATTGATAACTGCATCTACAAAGAAATAATTTTAATAAAATCTACTCTGTGATGTAATGCTGTGATGATAGCTCATTTGTAAACTAAAATTTTAATAAAATCATTTTTCTCATGGATGGTTAACATTATAGAATGTCAAGTATGAGTACATTGTTGTAGAAAATTGCAGACAATTCCAGAAAAGGCTGCAGGCCTAATAGCCTTCCGCAGGAATTAGCAGTTATACCTGACAAAGGGCAGGTATTTCTGCTAGTAAATTAAAAACTGAAGTCACGGGCCGCATGTGGCCCACAGTTTGGAGACCCCTGGTTTAATGAATGCTCCACTTTAAGGTTTTTGTAAAACAAATGAAATCTCATCTTCGATTTCTTTGCCTGGAAATCTCAATTTTTTGCAATCTAAGAATTCTGTTAACTTGAAATTATAAACCCTTCAAACATATTTCTTAATAATGACACTTCGACCAAGCAAAAATCCATAATGAACTGGTAACAAATACTTAAGCAAGTTATAATAACAAAAATGGTAAATATATATAAAACCAAAACTGTATTTAAAATATATTAAACTATATGATCAGAGTAACCAGCATCTGTTTACTGAATGAATATTTTTTTGAATTCCTATTATAATTTAAAAATAATATTAACTGTTTCATTTAAATATCAGTTATAAGTAACTAAAATATTATAAATTAAGCATATACCACTTTAATACCACAATACTTTTTATACTGTAGGAATTCTCAATACATTATCAAAGATTGTTAGTCAAATACTGTATGTTTATAATATTGTGTCTTGCCCAAGAAAACTATAACTGTGTCTTTGACCACAAAGAATTAATAATTAAATACCCTTATTTTTTAAAGGTTCAAGTAGTATCTTTCTTAATATATATGAAGTAATTTATAAAATAAAGATGAATAAAACTGGAACGTTTTATGTTTTTAAATTGGGAGCAGAGGGATAGTTCAGAAGTCTTCTTATTTTTTAAAACTATTGTGGATAAAATTTCCTATCAGAAATATTCTGGAATCTATGTCAAACTAATGCTTCTTGAATCTAAGAAGGGTGCAGCAAAAGAAGTTTTAGAACCTCTGATGTAATACATACCTTTCCTCCCTGAGTTGATCTGACAGCAAATGAGAAAAGATTTGACTGTTCAGGATTTCCTTCTAGTTTGAATTGGGAGAAAGCTGCAGCATGACCTTCAATTGGCTGGCTTACTTTTCTTTCAACAGAGTACAACTGCATTGCTCCTACTACACGATTTTGCTAAATATGAAGTTATAATAAAGATATTTGAAAAAATATAATAATAATAAAAGATTACTCAATAACAGTATAGAGGTTGGTGTTTTAATTTCCAATAATGTAGCAAATACACAGATTGAAATATTACATTTGTGCATTCCCGAGGAACTTAACTTTGCTTGAGGAATTTCATCTTTTTAGTTGGCTTTCCTGATTGAGAATGCATGGTCCATTCGTATTCCTTTAGTTATAACCAATCAAAGTGAACAAATTGCATGGATTAACTAAAAACTCATGAAGAAATGCAACTTTATATGAGGGAATGTAATCTTCCTGATATCTTTCTCTCAAGTGAATGTAATTTTATTTTGTTACTTCTATCCCTGAAATAAGTTGTGAGAAAAGTATTTTAAAAACCTAAGTACAAAGATACAATTTCAAAATAAACTGTGCTTAACTATTTTAATTTTCCAGATGATCATTATTAACAAATACTAAAAAAATTTGACCAATCTTACAATTTGAGAAGTGGTATTGCCAAATATTGTTGATTTAGATAGCTTAGCAGTCACCACTATCTCACACACCCATAATGCTCAACTTGAATAACTATCACAAAGTTTTTGGCTGTTACTATTAGGAATGACATCTTTGAAATGAAAAACGTTTTTTAATCTCAGAGCAGATTCAAACATACAGGATTTTAGGTTTGAAAATATTTTTAACATATTGTGACTGCTATCCTACATACAAATCACTATGACAATTGATTTCTTATGTACAAACTAAGACATTATGGGGAAGAATGTTTATTCAACATTTCACTGAATTACTATCAGTGAAGCTATTACTAAATCTATTTTATTCGAGCCTCATTCTCAAAATAATCAAAACGAGGCTCTTAATGCATCGTGTATAGGCCTATCGTTAATGAACAATGGAGACCACAAACAAAGGTCTGAAGGATCCTGGATGGACAAATAATATTGCTGCTCTATCTGATATACAAAAATTCAGAAACATTCAAGTGTCTACAAAACACCTTACAAGTTCTCCAAGGGTCAAACATATATGATATTAAAGATAGGTCATCTGTCACATTTCATGCCATAGACATACGACTAAAACTGCACGTCTCAAAAGTCCTTTATTCATTACAATGTTTGCAATTTTTATTTTGATACTGAATATTAATCATTTAGTATTATGTGTACATAATCTGATGAATACAATTCCACAGCAGTTTAAATATACAGTAGTTGGTGCTCAGGAATTTACATGTACTCACGTAACTGAACATTTTTTAATCCCTCAACAACAAACACTTTTCTTTATTATCAAGTTTATTCTTAAAGTGATCCACAAAGGTTTTGTCTGTCATTTGGAACATTGTTATTTTGACAATTTTGCAAATATTCCTATAATGAGAATGAATGCCTGTCACTTGATCATGGACTACAAAGAAACAATCCAACATTGGCAAAATCTAGAACCAATCTGATTCTTTCTGTGCCTCACACACCATTATCATTCAGCAGCATTTCTATATATCAATATATAGTGAGGAACCCCTCCTCCCCTAGGCTCCCATCCATTGTATGTTTAATTGGTTATGTGACTGAATACTATAATGCTAATCATATGGATGAAATTTTCCTTAACACAATACTCTGTTCATATAAGGTATTTCAGTTGCATTTTGTTTAATAAAACTGATAAATTTGTTGTATTTCTCCCGGTAAATGTTAATGAACAAGGCTTGTTTGTGTTAAGAGCCTCAACTTAGGATGGCAGGTGCATGATATCAATGAATTATAGTAGAATGTCAATATTCAAGAAATGTCAACTACCTAAACAGCTGCAGGCCTAACCATATATAAATTAATTCAACTCCAATGCAATACAATTTTAATCTATATCCGTGCATGATGTGTACCTGGTGTTTTTTACAAATACAGTAATTAAATGTTTATTAACAACTAGGCAAACTACATCCACTATTAGTTATAACCTTTAACTTATTATCTTCATTGTGTGTATGGCATATTTTTTATTCATCATAAGCTTTAACACTATTTTCAATGCTTGATTGATTTTTCTATCATTTATAAGCTGTAATGTTTGATATTCATTGTTGTTATTGCTTTTTCTCTAAGTGAATTGCTAACTTCTATGAAACTGTTTAATTTCAAGTACCTACTTCACCTCAAGAACCATGCAGTTAGCTGCATTTCAAATAACGTTTTGTTCAGATTATTTCTTCCTGTAACAACAAATAACTACTTACAATCCTGTTAGTACAAAACACAATAACCTTCAATAAATGAACATTAAATGTTGTACAAATAAAATTGTTATGTTAGGCTACAGTCCTGAAAAATAGATTTGTGATAACATCAAACTTAAAAGTATCTTGATTAAGTACTAGAGTAAAAAAACAAAAGGATAAACTGGATTCACATTTGTATTCACTGTAAACTGTGTTTACTGGTCAAATACTGTAGAAATTCATTATCATAACTCTGAATGAAAAAACAACAAATGTATTATCAACATACCATCTATAATGAAGTGATTTAAAATAAACATGACATTTTTCCAAAAAATATATTTCATTACAAATCAAGAACATGTTAGCCATAGAAAATGCAAGTTTTTTTTTTCTCATATTTGACAATAAATAAAGCCATTAAACATAAAATGTGATTCTTTAAATACAAGAAACATGCTTAGAGAGCCCATTTACCATTTCTGAAGAGAGAGAAAACATTAAGCACATAAGTCAATGGTTTCTTGCAAAGAGCACATAAGAACAAACTACATACACATTATTACACCATTAAATTTCTGCAAAAAAATAAAACTCTACACTGTCTACGAGAGTAAGTTAGTTGCTATTTTTGAGTAGAGTAATGAGTAGAGTTTATCTTTTTCGATTTGGATATTAGTATGTAACTAACAAGGTATTTTTAAAGATTGGTATATCTCACAAATGATGTTTTGAGAGCTATGTGCTCATTTCAAGTTTTGTTCTTACAGCATTTGGAGCAGTTATTCCTTATTGAATGAAAGAACTTATATTAATTTTTTAAACAAATGGACTTCATAATAGTTTTGTTGATAATGTTATTGATGAAAAAAACTATCTACCTATTTTTCTTGTTACATGAAGAATTAACTTGTATTTTTTTATGTAATATATTCAATAGTAGCTTTATTAGTCATAGTATAAATGAAATGCTGAGCAATCTGTGTACATACTTAGCCTTAAGAAACCAACAGTGATAGTGTTACTGTATGTAAGACAGCAAATGCAACATATTTTCCAGACTTTCAACTACTTAACATTATTAAAAAACAAACGAACTTGAAATTAAAATGAGTAAATAAAAAAATTGTTTTGTATTTCTGTAAATACATCTCACAAAACTATACACTCAATACTCCTCTCACCTGAGCTGATATTCCTATAAGTAGCAGCCACTGCTGTTTATGGTCTGTTCGATAATTGATTATCTGACAACCATTTAAACTGGAATGTCTCTCAAACATTTTTACTGGCTGAGAATCACCTATGTGAAAATACAATTTGGTAATCACTAACTTCTTTAGACTTTAACCTTCAACACTAGTATTTTGCATTTGATATTTTTAATGAACATTTATTTTAATATTAACTTTTCACATATGAATATTCTATTAAAATTAATTCTAGCTGTAAATCAGCTGCATTAGAAGTTAAATATCTTGTAATATATGCCTTTCCTTAGTTTCTTTTTTTTAATAATTTGAGAAAATATTTTTTAAAAGAAATCTTAAATAAAAATGGAAAAGTTTTACCAAAACTAAAGCCTTACTCACATAATGAATTCCTTATTTATCATAACAGAATGTAAAATAATTTAAAGAGATTAAAAGTATTACCTTCCATGCTCCAGTGAAAGACAGCTGTCTCTGTTACCAAAGCTACAGTATTTAAACTAATCCATTTCCAAAACACAACATCATCACTCATGGTGTGGGCTTTCATTTTACTTTTCATTTCAATGTTAAAAATCTGAAGTGTCCTCATGGCTAAAAAATAAAATAAAAACAGAGTATAATTAAAAAAATTTAACACTACACAAATTAGCCATCAAGTGACAAAAACAACATGTTTTATGGAGGTATAATATACCACCCAAAAGTAGCTTTGTACTTAACACAGAATAACAAAGGACCATTTTGTCCTTCAAGGCTGCCACTGCACACCCAGTCCAAAAGTAAAAACTTAACGCTTTGACTATGACGGTATGCAACTCTCGTGAATGTTCTTTACAAAAATGAAACTAGTGGATGAAATTCTTTTAAATTTGAGATGAAAGGTTCTATAAGTATGTTGTTTTTGAAAATAAGATATTTAATTTTGATTTTTTCTAAAACAATGTTTCTCTCATGTCATTTTTTTCTTTTCGCATGTTGCCTATGCCTCAGAAAATTTTCAAATTTCCCATGTGAAATCCTTATAATGTCCAGCTAGTTAGTTATCAAACATTTTTAAAGAAAAACTGTATTTTATCTGTTATTTTCACAAACAAATATCTGTACGGGTGCCATGAT